TTTATTTCGGTGTTTGGTTCTTTTTATTACTCACAGGTATCCTCGTCGAACATTTTCAACTATGAATTCTACATCTTATTCCTCAAGAATAATTGCACCTTGATAAATTATTATTATTATTACTACTACTATTGTTACTTTTTCAATAAATCATTGATTACAATGTGTCTTCTGTTTTATTGTGGAACTTGGAAGTTTATGATTTACTCAACTAATTTTCAGCATTTTCTCGACTGTACTACTTTATTAGGAATGTTATTCATTTGGATAGGCAGTACAAATCTTTGTCTAAATCTCAAAGATCTTCTTTGTCGCAATTAGTTCAGTTGCGTTCAAAGTAACGAGAACACAGAACGTATTGATTGCCGAGTATTTATTACAAATCGTTGAACAATGCCACCACATGTTAAGCCATCAAGATGTGCTACTTTGCAGCGACTATCGATTTCACTTACGACCACATCTGCCTGCAACACAGTTGGTAGCACGACACATCTTTCAGGCTGATGGAGTGTGCATGCTATTTCTTCGTTCAGTGTTGGAAGCGTAGTACACTTTGCATCTGAGTTCTCTGATGATTATGAGTAGACGATGGTGGCAGTCATTCAATTTTACTCACAAATCTGTTTCTTTTTCACAAAGTCACTTTTAACCATTGATCACACTAAGGCGTCTTTTTCCTTTCATTGAAAGAGTCGCGCTTTCTCATCACGATTTGTTACCTTCTTCCTCTGTTGTGTCTGCCTTGTAAGCTATGGATTGGTAGGAATTCACTTCTATTTTTCTCACGATTTTTTCTGCTTGTTCCAAGAATTTTTTCATTTGTCCTCATGGTACTATGACCATTAAGTTTTGACGCCAAGATATTACAGTATAAGGGAAGGTTGAGACCAATCGACGATTGTGAGAGGAGTAGTAGGTAGAAAGCACAAAGGAATTTGATCTACTCCCACTACGCATTTGCCTCGACTTCTCTTAGATCGACAAATTATTACTGACGACCTTGATGAAATTAAAGCCAGTCTGGAATCAGGCACATGAGGTTTTTTTGGTTTATGAACAGTAATCTCATATGTTATACATGCGCTTCGCTTTCTTTCGTTTGAGCATTCACCTTTGGTTGACATTTGTGTACTTTATTCTCTCCGATCAAATCTCCTTGTGATGCGTGAGGTGGTTCGATACTCTCGGTTGATATTAATCGTACCATTTCTGTAGAACAGAGTACTTCATTAATCTTGTTCTATTTTCCTTACTTTGGGGTTGCGTTTAACTCAGAAATTTGGATCAGTCATTTAACTCTCTTAATGGAAGATTTTCAAACGAATTCTTATGTAGATATGACAGGTTCGCGTCTAATTTACTTTGCAAGCCTGAATAATTTCAAACTTAGCTATGAAAATACAAAATAAATATGTGCTGTCTAGATGGAATAGTATCTGTCATTGTGTGAAATCGTTATCGGCAGTATTTCCTCATCGACAAGGCATAAATTGCCATGTGACTTTTGGCATTTTGTGATTCAAGGGATTTAATTGTAATAAATTACTATCGTAATGACATTGCAAATTAAGGCACATCATGAGTGTTATGATTTACTTTGACTATCATTATTGCTTCAAAAAATAGTGCATACTGCATTGAAATACTCACGTCACAACAATATGAAGGCAAAATTTATCTTTGAGGTAGAGTCCTCACAGTGGAAGAGAAAAGGTAAGGTTAATACTGCGGAATTGGTTAAATAGGATAAAAACTCGTGTCATGGTTGTTTGCAATTACTTTTTCGGCATATAGACTTGCCGTATGAATAGACGTTGCCCAGGGTGAACCTTGTGGAGTGGGTCCGTCACCCAAACGAGTCATGAAACAGCAGAAAATTGTAAGTGAAAATAATTTAACTTGAGGTGCCCTATAGCATAGTGTGGTGATCAGAGCTAGAAACATTGAGGAAATAACTGGGTAAATATAGGAAAATGATCTGATAGTCTTAGAGGTTAAATCGCATGAATTTCAACAAAAACATAAATCATACACTGAAACATTAGAATTTTAAAGATTCATTTAAAAAAATATATTAAAACTTAAAATTTAAATTTAAAATAGTCTTTCCTAGTTTATTTTGCTATATAAGAGATGTTTTAATGACTTTAGTCCTTTTTGAATATTTCAATTTGCTCATTTAGACTTATGCATTTCGATTGGCCCCGGGTTAATTCATTAGAATTAGATTTAGAACTGGTTGCCCACCATATATGGAAGGTAGAAGTGATATATGACAACAATAAAAGGAATTTTCACTCAATCTGCTCCCAATATTCATATTTTTGCATTATGAGTATACGTTGCCCAGGGTGCACTACTGGGAAGTAAGTCCCATCTGTTCCCAAGATAGTTTATGAAGAACGTGGATTGGAAGCTAATAATTGAAACCATCCGAACTTCGACCAATGATATTACAGACAAGTGAAGGCTTAACTTATACATTATTATAATAGTGTTATTTTAGATTTGAAGGGTTAATGAAACCTGATGAATTTATTAAATATGACTAAATTTGCTATAAAATAATTTAAAAAGATAATTTTCCCTATTAGTTTGTAAAGGAAAGGAGATGTGTTAGAATTTGGGAATGAAGTCAGAAATATTCAAAAGTTCAAAGGTCATGCACAATAATCAGTTTCTTGGTGGGTTTCATCTTCGCAACGACCAGTTCATATTAATCAGATGATTGCTTTGGTTGGCTGGTCATCCTACTTCAGTATGTTTTCATTCATAGTGAAATCAATAATTTATTGTACACACGAAGTTATTAACCTACGTTTGTCAGTGTTAAGTCTCAGTGAATAAATGCAGCCTAACGAAATACTCCACATCAATAGTTCTACATATCTCATCTCTGCCGTGCTAAGTTGAATAAAAATTGGTGGAAGATCATTATGTCATCTCGTCGATTGGGGGATAAAAGTGCAACGAAGTTGCAAGATTGACAAACGAGATTACGAACTGCCAATACACTCGTGGCATTATGGACCAGTGTTTGCTACAATCAAAGAGGTAAATTATAAATTTAACTTTTTCTACTACTAATTATATATCTTGCACACAATCGGATCGAACAATTAAATGATGCGAGGCATTTTTGCCAACCTGATCTTCTTCAGCATCGGCTTTATTTTGATCAATTCTCACTGTTAAATCTGTGAAATTGAATATGACCTACACAAGGATAATTGGAAATCAGAAATTCACTTTATCGTTTATTCTTCCTTTTTCGAAATCAAAATAAACATGTTAGCCCATAATTGGAGAACACAGTTTTTCGCATTGGATTTGGAAAATAGCAATCAGTTATCGTAGTCACATATCCTTATAACAAAAGTATTTTTAGTCTATTTCATATTCTGTAATAGTGGTGATAGTTGTCTAACATTTTGGTAAAACTAACACTTACCTACGTTTGTTTAGAGAAGGGGTGTTTACAAGTGGCATAAGCCACAATTTAGAGCTTTGAAATTACCAATGTGTCTAACTTAGCAGATCACAATGAACCACGTTCACTCAAGGCCCAGATTCTCGCAAATCTCTCGTGGAATAGCATTCATGATATTGTGAAGAATTTTCGTGTGGAAAATCTTAAATGAATTTCTGTTTGTCCCATCTGCTTGAATTGGGAGTTCGGAAGAGACCAAACGTATTAATATTCGGTGTTCATATGGCGACTAATAGGTCCAATTAATTTTGCAACAAATACACCCGGTAAAAACCAAAAATCTTTCTTTAAAATTCTGTTTCTCCCTCACTATCTAGACTGCTCATTCTGAACCTCTTTCCCTGTCCATATCATTCTATTATTTTCTCCTTCCTCTTCAATCCTTCGACACACCAGTTATTCTAATCATCACTGTTGATTGCAGTAGAAGCGGGATTTTCCTGGTAATTACTAAAACGATAAATATATCAATTAGAAATAGCTGAAATCCACCATATTATATAAGTAACGATGATGTTGGTGTTACTTTGAGACTAATACTGGAATACGCCTTTTAATCAATTGAGTGAGGATATAAATATCTTAATTTACTAAAATTTTCACTCCAATTGATATGCTTCTACATTCAATTAGGCTACTGACACTTAAAATTTGTAATGAATTTCAGTAGTATCAAGTAAGAAACGACAATTTCAAAACGACTTACACATTTGGACTACAGGTAATCCAACAGTTTAGACACGATAAAAGTGGCTGTGGTCCGTATCATAAAGAAAATGCTATTGAGCACATACGTGAGGACAATTAATATTATGTATTTAACAATTTTAAGTGAAACATAATATTCATGTGCTTCTCTGTTTTAGTATGGGACCTCTATCAATTTCCTCATTTTGTACATGACTACAATGTTTGCAAAAATGTATAAAAATGGAAATTCATGACAAAAAATATAGGTAAAATGAAAATAGCAAGGGAAGTCTTGAAATCTTTTTGTTTTTCTGATAATTGAGGAACCAAGTAACCATTTCGCTTATTTTGAGTTAAATAGTGATTAAAATTAAAGGCATTATTAATTTACGAGCAACACGTTATTCGCATGAATAGAATGCGCCAACAACATGAGCTGAAATTTTAAGATAATTTCGTTGTTTTATTTGGAATTACAACGGGGATTTCGTTGTCAAGACTGCGTTTAATTATCACTGGTTTGAGTTTTTAGGAGTGCAAACCAATGACCAGAGTGTTTCAAAATCGATAAATTCATTTTGATACTTTTGATAATTGTGTTTCTTAGTACGATAATCACACAATTTTAAATAAATTATTGAATTTCACAGGAGAGTGATAATCCATCTTTATTCACAATCTAAAAAATATTTCTTAGAGAAGCAAAATAAGATCTATCCCGTTTTTAATGTATAAACAAACAGTAAATCAGTATAACACATACAGATATCTTGTTTAAGCGTATAAATCGCGCATTAACATTCCATCTTTCAAGACGATGTTCAGGATGCCGTTCTCTTGGTATGATAGTGAGAATGTGAAGATTGGTATGAGAATAAATATTTTGTTCTTAATTACAAGTCTGCCTAAGGCCTTTTTTAAGTTGATCGCTCATTTTAAAATAAAAAATGTCAATTCAGTGAAGTTTTATTTATTATACTTCTATTTAGTAAAGGAAGCCATCAATACAAAGTCTTCTAATTGCATAGATGCTTATCAGGCGTTACTTCGACACTGCGCAACTGGACGGTTATCTTTCGCCGAATTATTGGATGCATCCATGAAGGAAATGGGCGAATCGGTTAAGAAATGTATGAATTTTGCAAATGTTCTTCTAATGCTCTATGATTTTTTTGGAACGTCTTTTTCTGATGCTCTAAATAACGAGAAACTCCAAAAACGTTTTGAAGAGATTTTAATATCTATGATTCCGATAAATAATTTGGCTTCTCGAAAATTGGCCTGGCTAATGAAGGTACGCATGCCATTAACAGAGATGCATAAGTTTATATTAGTCTATTTTTCCGAAATCGGAAAGCGGCTTGTTGGGACTTTGTCATTTGGAAGGAATTAATCTGTCATCTTGGATTCCAGAACTGGTATTTTATAAATATTTTAATTGCTGTTATTTCAGTCTGCTGCCGATTTAAATAGGCTTCTAAGGAATGCTCATAATGAAAGCAAAGAGGATAATACAATTGATTCTATTAAACGGAAACTTTCTCAAATGAATGATATAAGGGTAGATGATTGTGAAAATATTAGCTCCCTGTCTCATTTTCTTCCAATCATTTTACTTTTCCTTTAGGAAGCTCAAATAACAAAAAAACGTGTTGGCGAATATATCGTATTATTACAGAGAGACCATAAGTTTATACAGAATGTTATGGATTCTTTTATTCCCCTTGAACATAAAGAAAATCCTTTGGAAGAACTTTTGAAACACGCAACCGAGATTATGGATCAAGTCAATGCTCTTCTGGTACGTTCTATTACCGTCTTTGGTTTGAATTTGTTTTGCTTATCCGTTTATTTAATATATTCTATGAGTAATTTTTTCTTTATTGATTATCTTCGTTTTCAACGATTTTGAGGGCTTTTCTCAGCTTTTATAAGCCTTTCAGCATTTGGATCTTATTTTCATTGTTATTTGTGGAGATAAATACTTGTGTTTCTTATTACTATTATTGCTATTATTACCATTAAATGGTGAGAAATGCCATTAATGTATTGGGATTGGGAGTGGATATTTGTCAATATTTGTACGTACATCCATTT